AAATTTAAAAGAATATAAGTCACACAAGCCAAAAAATGCATAACGAAGAAGAGAAAAAAAAACACATAGATGTTGTATGAGTGCCCCCTAGTGGCTGTCAGTGTGAAAATAACAACCATGTACATTTTCAGTGGTAGTTACTAGTAAATAAGCCTAGAGTGCCCTCTAGCGGCTGTCAGTATGAACGTGAAATTATATATATTACATATAAATCGCAAACCCAGCCAAAGAATGAAAAAAAAAGTGCGACTTATAATTTTACCCAAATGTTTCAACCACAATTTGTAACGATGGTGAATTCTCCTAAAGTACTTTCTGGAAACATTAATGGTATAACCCAACCTTTATATACAATGCTAAAATATACTGTGTTCTAGGCCTGGTCCCCTGCACCAGTGTTGGAAATACAGCCCCAAACACTCACAGATCCTCCTCAGACTTTCCCATCAGCCAATGATGTATTTCCATGGCCTCCTTTGTCTCTGTTGTTAGTAGGACAAGCAGAGCAGTTAGTGGAGCGTTGACTACAAATAACCAGGCTGTAAATGTGCAGTAGAACTCACATCTACATTAGCATGTATTCTGCTGTGTGTCCTTAATATTAACGTGCTCTCTCTTTTCTCTGTCTCCATCTCACCCCCACACAGGCCTACAGCTCTATCCTGGTTGCCATGGTAGTCCTGCGGACCATCGGAGTGGCCGTTTTGTTTATTCACTTTTTTATTTGAGGACAGCGGCGAGTCCGGTGTTGGGCAATCTACACTTTAGCAAAAATATAAAGTCATACGAGTATTATGTCAAACCGCTGCCCTTCATGCCCCTGGTGGGAGGACAAGAACTGCGGGATCAAGGTTAGACCAGGACCAAAGAGGGCTCTGAAAATTACTTGATCAAGCTGTTACAAAAAACAAACAAAACAAAAAAAAAACGAAGAAGAAGAAGAAGAACCAGATGCAGTTACAGAGGTTTACTGTCTACTGGACTGGTCCAGGTAAATGGACCAGAAGAAGGGAATGTTCCAAGACGTGGACTCAAGTGAACTGCGGTACAGACTAAAGTGGGCTGCATCAGTGGGCCACGAGCCGCTGAGAGCCGCAGCTGACATCACAGCTTCCACTGTCCACAGACAGGACTGATGAGACAGACTTTTTTCATCTTCAAAACATAGTTTTCAACAGATTTGTAACTTCAAATTTATTTATAAACATTTTATCTCATATACAATATGTTGATGGATATATTTATTTTGTAACCCTGAAGCCCCTCTTTATATACCCTCCCCCCGACCCCTACCGACCTCCCCCCGTCGCCTTTTTGGATCCTCCACCAAACCAGGTTCCCACTCGGGTGTTGTTACCGATGGTTCCAGGTCCATACGTGTGAGCGAGTGTGTGTGCGTTTTCTGTGAGTACGATTATTGACATACGAAAAAAGCTAATCACCCATTATTTCCCAACGCCTGTCACTGCTGCAATGTTTAACTTTATTTAAAGGAATTCTCAGAATATCCTGTTTGGCAGACGTCCCCGTTATGTCGTCACCGAAACCCGGGCCTCACAAGACCCAAATACAAGTGTAGACAGACAGAGTGTATCTTCCCCAGGTCTTCAGACCGACCTGTCTCACACCTCTCACCTGACTTCGACTGTTGATTCTCAAAGTCTGAATTTGGCACGACCAATGCAAACGTCCCCCTAGTGGTAAGTCAATGTAAGTACACTTTTGCAACCTTGTTTATTTCAGATGTTATTCTATGATTTTTGCCCATGGTCTCATTGACCTTTGACCCCATTTGTTCCCATTACAAAAACATCCCAAAAATAGTAAATAGAAATAAAGTAACAAGTAAACAAACTGGCGTAAACTGATAGGCTGTACAAACTCACAATTAAAATATACACAGTTGAAGTAATTCTGCAGTACATGATAGTATTACTGTCATGTAAACTGTTCTACTGCATCATAGCAGGAATATTTTGTTTTGGACTTTCTTCTTATTCACAGAGTGTCCTTCCTTTGGACACCACCCAGCTGTTCACAACATATTGGACACTTGAACACTACTTGTGTGTGTTTGCAGGGGGCGCACTGCCAACGAAGGTCTAGGCTACAGCGCTTTCAGAGAGAATAACCAAGGCTTTGGTCTCTCCCTCCTACTCTCTCTCTCTCACACCTCCACGTACTCACAGTATAGGATGAAGCTCCGTCTCAGCTGCTGGTGCTTCAGTCTTTCTGCCTCGTGTATCACTGGCAGAGGAAATTCTCTCTGGAGAAATACGCCTTTAAAAAAAACCCTCCATCGACTCTTACAATTTTCTTCTTACGAGACGTCTTAAAAAAACAGGAAAATAAATTTTGTTGCTGTAGCAGCGCCCACATGTATACGATATGTCGTCAACACCTCGGGTTGAGCATCAAGGTTGATTGGTAAAGAAAAGAATTCAAGAAGCAAAATCAACAGATTATGTTTGGATAAAATACAGTTGATATGACTGATTTTTTTCAGGGTTTTTTTATTGGCTGTGATGAAGGAGGTATCGTAGGCAGCAACTGTCAGGACTTTATTGCTTCCATTAATGATCTTTTTTTTTTTTTACTTCTATCCAGGACTCCTGGGGATAATAGAGCTAATGCCTCTTGGGGCAAATCACCAATAGTTAAGGGTTTATATTTGTAGACGTTGTATAATGTTTTCTGCCAGATGATTTAAAACGCCCCCAAAAAAAATAAAATATTCTGGAGTTGAGAAGATTCCAACTACACTGGAACTACAGTACGTTGCTGTTTTTTTCTTTTTTAATTAGCAATTAGCACGGGCATTTGAGTTTGTAAAGATCAGTCTCATTTGAAGTGTCATTTCGACCTCTGACCTCTGACCACCGCCCACTCTATTGAAGGGTCAAGTCTGTCAACCTCACACTGCAGTGATGTCACCAACAGTGTTTAGGAACCGGTTTAATGAGCTGAAATGACTGACGTTGTGGGGAAAGACTTAGTCTGACGCTGAAAAGACGTAGTAAGTTCTTACTCAGTCAGACTCTCAGAGGTCAGTGTTTTTAGACGACACTGAAGTGAAGATGAAAACATTATCTCCGTAGTCGACTGTGGATCTCTGGGAGTTTTCAAACCCATCTGGCAGAACAGCTTCTGTGTTTGTTTGCGTGTGTGCACAGATGAATGCTCATCCAAGTGTGTGTGTATATCTCTGTGTGTGTGTGTGTGTGTCTTCCTCCTTCCACATGATGGGATGAGATGGGATGGCTGAGCCTGTTGCCATTGGTAACAACATACAGGGGGCAGGGAGTGTCTGTCGCTGTCGTTCTTCTGTCCGACAGCGCTTTTTCAAAGTACCACAAACTCAACTCACCCCTCCCACACCCTC